TATGAAACTTACAGCCTTACTTTATGTTCAACTAACAATGGATCATAATCTTCTTCACCTAGAATAGCAAAAGCAAATGAATAAGCTTATCAGTCAATGGCACCTGTGTTATTGTAGCTCATTTTAGGATTTTTAAGACTAGCAGCTTTATAGTATACTCAACTTATAATACGGTCAGTTGACTTAAGATCAAGTTATTAAAGGGTATGACCCTGTACTATTAGCTAACCGCAGGAATAAAAGAATGTTTAGAATAACTATCAATCATTAGCTGAGAATTCTCTCATAACAAACTACATGTATGTACTATAGTACAGTACAGTCCTTGGCTACAACTTTAAAAGTTCATAAGAAATCCAATTTTGATTGAAAGCAGCTCAAACTTTATATGCAACATAAGTACATGTATATGCATCAGAAAATATCATAAAAATTGAGAATTCCCTGCTTTTCATTTTTGGCAAAATTTGGCCAAAGTCTTACAGGGGACTTTTACACAATTTTTGAGTAAATTTTAAAATTTGTAAAAAATTAAATTTTGATCGAAATCAACTCAATCATTCTACGCAACATAAGTGCATGTATATGCATCAGGAAATATTATTAAAATGAAGAATTTTATACTTTTCATTTTTTGGCAAAATTTGGCCAAAGTTCCTGTCACCTTTAGATACAATCATTCATTGTAGCTATAAATTATAATAAAATGACACAAAAGCTTCATAGACTTACATCATAGTATGAGTAAGAGGCTCTATGAATAGTTTAAAAAGATTCCCTGTTGAACTTTATCTTAATCATAATCAATCATAAAGTGCTATAGGGTGTGGTTGGAATGTGAACTATACTACTAGTATCACATTCATAAGGTGTGAATGCCTGCATGTGAATGACATCACATGATCCCACAAGAACAGACTGTGCTCTTCACTGCTAACAGTTTGCTTTACTCTACTGACACTACACTAGTGCAAGTGTACAAGTGCAAATGTACAGCATCAGCATGTACTAAAATGACTTCATTATCAGCTAACAGCTTAACGTGACGCTTTAGCATCTCACACATTTAAGGATTATACTTCTTCCTTGCATAATTAACTTTCCATGTGAGACAATTATAAACTTTGCAGCAATAAAGATAACTTGTAAACAAAAACACAAACAACCTAAAATAACAAACACACTAGCTATAGCTCATCCTCAAAGTTTATAAGTACATATACAGACCCACTGAGCTTACAGATATACTCCATAAGCTCAGCAATAGTAAATATACTGGTAGTAATAGTAGGAATAATAACAGTTGTTGATCTGTGAAACAGACGTTGCAATCACGATTATGAAAATGACAATGGAAACAGCATAAGTTGCTATGCCTCCAATGTTGAGGAAAAGGGCAAGTCGACGGTTTCTTTCAACAGCTGCTTGATCACCACGAGCGTCTGCATCCCTAGCCTGTGAAGGAAAATCACTAATAATCAATAATTTATAATCAATAATTATGTGAATCTGGAGTCAGTGGAGTGAAATATCTCAGACACAAAGGAAAAACAAGCAATTTTTTGGGAGTCATAACGCAAAATGTTTACTTAAAAGTCAATTTAAAAGAATAAACCTCCTGTGTACAGTTGTAGGCGGTAGACAAAGTTGATAAGTATATACACATGTAGATAATCCCTGAGATAAGTCACATAATAACAGTCCTTTAGGGAATGAAACACCAAACAGTGCATTGAGATACTTAACCAGTTTCAATCATGATAATTAATAATAATATCAGTACCTTAATGATATTTCCCCTCCATTCTACATTGTTATTGTTATGACTTACATTGATTGCAAAGACAATGGCTGGTATGGTACAAGCAATAGCACACCATGTTTCCCAGAAGATCAGCCGACCTGTATGTACAGTAGGTCATGTGGACTGGGGCAGGCTGGGTCACAACGACAGTGTTCTAACAAATACAGCCTGATAGCCACCATAAGCTGTCTGGGAAAGAAAAAATATTATATATGTATACATATGCCAACCAATCACTTGTTGGCACTTGCATGTCACTCAAAGTGTAAAGAAAGGCAGTATCTTCTGACCAGGAGGTGGACTAGCCTGATGAGGTTAGGGAGCCATTGGTCACAGATTGTCAAGAGAAGAATGGCTTTAAAAAGCACTTTAAGGACAGCGATAGTCAGCGAAAAAATGATGATAGATACTGATTTAATTTAAAATTAAATCAGCATTCCTACACAACAATCATTGTATCTTTCAAAAATCTATTTTCACACAAAAACTAAAGTTTAATAGCAGCACAATGAAAAAAGGTCCTGTTCACTTGTAGCAATAACTATAATAATATCCATAGTAGGAATCATAGTAGTAATAACAATAACCAGAAGATGCAGCGGTGACATTAACAGACACAGCAACAATAATAATGATAACTATGGCCACAACGTAGGTGACAATCCCACCAATGTTGAGACCCAAAGCTAGACGACGGTTACGACTGACTGCTTCTGCATCACCACGGGCCTCAGCATCTCTAGCCTGAAATGAATAGAATACATAAAGCACAAATCAACACAAATTTTTATTGCAGTTTCTGATATACTTATGCTGTGTAGAAAGTTTGTGCTGGTTTTGACTTAAATTTTGCAAGTTATGGTCATTTTAAAAACTTACATTAATTGCAAAGACAATGGCTGGTATGGTACAAGCAAGAGCACACCATGTCCCCCAGAAGAAGCAGCAAATGGTCAAGAATATTGAGAGACTCAAGTAGTGATCACCTGACCTGTATGTGCGATAGGTTGTGTGGACAGGGGCAGGCTGAGTCACAATGACAGTATTCTAGAAATATGTCTCCGTAACAAGAGTGAAAGAGATTTTTACTTACATTATGTGTAGCTGGTGCAGCCTGATAGCCACCATAAGCTGTAAAGGAAAGTAAACAATTAGTATAGGTTATACACCGAGGTAGAGGTTTCTATGGTATTTATTAACCGAGCGACGCAGTCGCGAGGTTAATAAATGCCATAGAAACCGATACCGAGGTGTATAACCAACTTCTACCATGACACTTGAACAAGCGTAACAGTGTAAAAAATATTCCTATAATTGATTTCACCATCTTGCAAGTACAACTTGGTCATTATTAAGACTTATAGAGGTTCTCTCTACCTTCAAATGCTTCTAGAGAAGTTTTTAAACAGTATCTTTATGTTCCCTTGCTGTTAGAAAGCTCTTAACTTTGTCCCATGTGTAAGCCGCCATTTTGTTTGCCGTGACCACACCCACTACGTAGGGAGCGTGGGCGGGTGGTTGCTAAGGCTTGTTATTTCTCCAATACAACGTGTATAGAAGAAATGTAAGTGTGGACATACAAATATTATACAAACATCGCACGTGGTTGAAATCAATTATAGGAACGACCTGGGGGCGTAGCCCCCAGGTCGTTAAAAACAACTACCAGCTGCTGATAATAAGACCACAGTTGACATACATACAACATATCTAACAGGCTAGGCCAGTAAAGAATCAACCAAGCTTGACAAATGGACTAATAAGAGCATAAGGGTAGAGCGCCAGGTTTCACTTATTTTCTACCATGCTTGTTTTGAATTGACCAATCAGATTGCATTATATGAGGTGTCTAAATCACTTATAATACCCCGGGAAAATATTTAGAAACCTCCGGGAAATTATTTAGATACTTCTGCCAAAGTTTGGGAAATTTTAGGAATAAAAAATGATAGCAATAATAGTAATGTTATTTTTTGAATTGTTATGTGTATGTTTGTGCAGTTATTAAAGCTGAAGTGTCTGTCTTCATCTAGAGATATGTTTTGTGCTTTTGGAGGATGAGGTGAATTTGTATATCGTCACTAGCTACTACTGTTTTTGTTTGTAATAATAATATTATTGAGGAAACGTCTTCTGGCATTTTGTTGATCTGAAATGTGCTTATAAATTCGTACACCATCCGTGCTTCTGTGACCTGTTCTTTTCATGATTAATTGTTCATCAACACCAGCTTGAAATAGTCTAGTAGCAGCAGTCATGCCGCGAAGTGAGTGGTTTGTTTGTAACCATCGATTCCCCAGTTGCTGCAGCAAACATTTTAAACAGTATTTCTCCATTAAGAAGAGTGGCCTGGTTAGAGCTTCTCCAAATCTTTCATTCTTTCCTTGCACCAGTCATTCAGAATATTTCTACCCATTATATTGCTTTTTTAGTTGTGCATGGTGCACAGTGCTGTTGTGTATCTTTAAATCCTTGTCCGTTGCGAAACAAGATGGTATATAGCACTAATGAAGTAGGCGGGGCAGTCATAAAATGATGAGAGATAGGCGTTTCCAGAGCTATCAATGGCGGCTGTGTTAGTCGCATCTTTTGAGAACAGACGAGTATGTCTACCTAGTTGCTTTTCCATTCTAGTGCGTGACTTAAAATGAATTGGTTGCTAATGGTAAGGATTTTTATACTTTTTGTGTATCCTAGCTACAAGAAATGCATCTAATCTGATTGGACGCATGGTAGAACACGGTTATACACCTCGGTCTCGGTTTCTATGGCATTTATTGACCTCGGGACTGCGTCCCTCGGTTAATAAATACCATAGAAACCTCTACCTCGGTGTATAACCTATACTTATTTAATAAACCAAGAGGTTAATAAGTGTTCCCGGGAGGTATCTAATAGATTTAGAAACCTGGCATTCTGCAATCTGATTGGTCAATTACAACTAGGCATGATAGAATTTTACATAATCTAATTGTTCTTCACGCATGCCAATCCCTTGTTGGCAGGCTCTCATGCCATTCAAGTGTAAAGACAGGCAGTATTTTTAAAAGGACTGACCAGGAGGTGGATAACCCTGCTGAGGTGGATAACCCTGCTGAGGTGGGGGAGCCATTGGTGGCGGAGCATTGTAAGCCTAAAAAGAGAAAAGAAGTAAAGATATCGTACAGCTGGAGACAGACCGCCAGTTAGCATGGACTTACTGGAGGTGGGGGCTGTACCAATGGCTGTTTGTCACCTAAAGAATTATGTAAGAGACAGTAAAAATACTGAAAATAGCAACCGCGAGCCTCACTCATTGTTATTGTATGGAAGATTTGCTGGAAGCAAGAGACAACTTTGACAAGAGAAGGGCTGAAAGAAGGCAGGGGAAAACCACAAGTGACAACACAGCTCGGCGCACCACTCGCTGAATCATTGATTGAATCACGTGCACCAGAGATTTTAATTATTGGAAAAGAACTACAGCAAAAAAACAAATTCCCAACTCTTCAACAATAATATGAATAAGTATTGTAGTAAGTATTGTAATAGGTATAACAATAGTTAACGTAGCTGCTGGTAGAAGATGCAGAGCTATTTAGTGTAGACACAATTAGAATAACAACAACTATGGCTGCTGCTACGTATGTCATGATGGCACAACAATTGAGGCACAAAGCTGTATTGCGATTACAAGAAACAGCTTCATCATCACCAAGTCTCTCAGCATCTTGTGCCTAAATAGAAAAATTACATAAAAAGTATTAACCAATATTTTTAAAATAGATTTATGACTACAAAGGTTTTATTCATAAAGGCCTAATTGGAGCAACTTATATCTACTTCACTCTTCACCGAGTACTTACATTACATTGTACTTACATTGGCAGCAAAATAAATAGCAGGGATCGTACAGATGAGTCCAACCCAAGTACCACACAAGATAAAGATGACGGTTAACAGAACGGAGAGAGCGAAAAAATGATCACCAGAAGCACGTGTTGGTGCTCTTTCATAAGTAATGGTAGGGACTTGTTTTTGAGCTATGATAACACTCTGAATATTGATACCATGAAGATAATGGTGCTATAATAGCATTAACTTACTTGATAATAAATCCCTAAAAAATAAAGACATGCACACAATTAAACACTGAACATTAAAAAATGCTTGTAAATTGAGAAATCTGCTAAAAATTGTTAATTATATGTTTGTATAGTGAGAAAGCAGCATTCAAGAATTTTTTCTAAAATATCGAAAAGAATATCTACAGGCTCATAATATCTAGTCAGTCGTAGCCAGACTAATGAAAGAGAATGGATCTGGCTATGTCAAATCAGATCAGATCTAATCTCAGCCAAGCCCCCTACGTCAGAAACTTATAATCCACTGATTCCCAATACATAAAACAAACCTATTTTAGATTAGGCTACCAGCCCCTGCATGTAATGTAATTTTTACAATACAGTCATGCATGAAACACTGAGAGTCTTAGAGCTGTTCATTTGCATATGAAAAAAAATTATTAGATTTATACCTCCATGATCATGATGATGGCGATGATGATGATGATGGCGGAGATGATGATGATGCATATCGATACTAAGTCTAGAGATCACAAAAAGATTGATGAGTTGAGGAACTTAGAGGAAAGGTGGGCTCAAAAGCAAGTTGTTAACTCGTTGTTGTCGAGTGGAGTCTACGCCCACAAAAATTATAACAACTTAATAAATCATAAAGTTATGGCCAGCTGTATTCACCGGCTTCAAACAGCACAATATTTTCACGGGCTTTTATAAATGGCAGTTGTTGTTATTCATTTTCACACAAAAAAAAACTTAAATCAAACAGAATCAATAATAAAGTCAAAATGATAATAATTATCATTTAAGAAGTCCTGTTCACTTGTAGCAATAACTATAATAATATCCATAGTAGGAATTATAGTAGTAATAACAATAACCAGAAGATGCAGCAGTGACATTAACAGACACAATGATAATAATAATGATAACTATGGACACAACATAGGTGACAATCCCACCAATGTTGAGACCCAAAGCTAAACGACGGTTACGACTGACTGCTTCTGCATCACCACGGACCTCAGCATCTCTAGCCTGAAATGAATAGAATACATAAAGCACAAATCACCCTCAATTTTTATTTCATTTTCTGATACATATTGATGTACTTATGTTATGTAGAAAGTTTGAGCTGATTTTGACTTCAATTTTAAAGTTAAAGACTTACATTGATTGCAAAGACAATGGCTGGTATGGTACAAGCAAGAGCGCACCATGTTCCCCAGAAGAAGCAGCAAATGGTCAAGAATATTGAGAGAGTCAAAAAGTGATCTCCGCTTGTATGACGATTATAAACAACAGCCGGTCTAGTTGGCTGAGTTGTCACAATAACTGTATTCTAAAACAACAAAGAGATAAGGTTAAACAACAAAGTAATGTATATTTTCCAAATGGCTTACATTAGTCGTCTGAGGAGCTGCATGATATGGCTGAGCTAGAAATGAAAATATTGTATTATCAAGTTGCAATATCAGATACCAATGAGTATAGAGTAACATAGTACATATAGTAAGACTATCTGTAGTAAGAGTATCACAGTACATATAGTACACAGTACTTTAAAAATTACGTACCTACATGCAAAAAATTCCCCAGAGGTCACCACAAATTTTGATAAAGAGGCAGACAGTAAAAGTACATGCATAATAATATTGTTGAAATTTCATTAATTTTCATACCAGGAGGTGGTTGATAGGGCCGTTGAGGTGGAGGTGGCTGATACTGGTAAGGCTGGAAAAACACAGGACAATAATTCATGCATGAAGAAGAGGTTCAACTTACAGGGGGTGCTCCCATCAGCGGCTGCTTATCGTAACCTGCCGAAAAAGAGGCGAAATAATGCCATTACAATACAAGTATAGTCTTACTCATGTTGCAAAGCGGTACAATATGAATCTCCCAAACGTGTAAATGAGCTCCTCTATGTCCTCCTCTTCTTTGCACGCGCGTTTAAAATACCGTATAAACTCTATTTTAGTGTTTTCAAAATTTTAACTGATTTATGATTAATTTTTTGTGGGGCGAGGTCAATAAACAAAGTATATTATTATTATTATTATTATTATTATAAAAACAACTAACACAATAAACAAACACATCACTGTACATCATTTGCACAAATAAAGTTTTGTTTGCAGCATTTCTTCTGAGCAGGGCCACACTAATATGTAGTAGGTGTTGGAGTTCCATCTTCAGCATGATGGACTTCATATCGATAAGACATGACATACCAAGCAATGGTGAGGCCCAGTGTAATCAGACCAACAATAGATCCAATGATGTTCAAAGCAAGTGCAGCCTGACGCTTAGATCTCATTGCAACCATGTCCCCTCGCATCTCTGCCTCTCTCGCCTGCAAAGAATGAAAAATAAAAGATTATTATATTGAAAGGTATACTGAATGTAGTGTTAGTTATCAGAGTGACAACAGAGCAAAAGGGAAAGATGTCGTAACTAACATGGACAGCATAAACAATTGCTGGTATGACACAACAAAGGCCGCATGATCCAAATATGCACCAGAAGAATGCAAGGAAGACAGAGAGCGTGAAGAAGTTGTCACTGGGGTAATGAGTAGCAGCTGGGTTTGTATGATATTCTTGAGCCAGCGGCTGAGAGCTAACAATACGGACAGCAGGATTCTATAGTAAAGGAGACAACAGTATAGCAATTGATCAACAATGCGTGAATATGTGCCAAATTTGTCACTTGTGTTAGTTATAATGATGGCTAATGTTGGCATTAATAAGTTTTTATAAAAAGGCATAGGCATAGCTGATACTCTTGGCATAGCCGGGAATAGCATAGCTCATCTGCCCCGCTGTAGGGAGACTGATGAATTAAGGCGGCATTGTTTCACTATAGTCTAGATCATCTACATTGTTAGTTTTACTACAAAGAATGCACAGTTCTGGTTTTGACTGCATGCCAACCTATTTGCATATAATCAGCTTAGGCAGAGTTCAGCTGATCAAAGCCAGAGTATTAAATTATGGCAACTTACAACAGAGTAAACGGGAGGTGCCTCTGGAGGAATTAAAACTTTCTCTGTGGAAAGAAAACGATCAATAATCAAATTCGATGCTTATCCTTGTAACTTACGGTCTTCCATTTTTCCAGGGACGTAGTCTATGATATCTCTTTCTCTTTGTCTAAAGATGTTTTTGCAAACTTTTTGCTGAGCAGTAGCAATACTCACACGTGATGATGATCATAATGATTAATGATGTTATAATAATGATTAATGATATTATAATAATGATGTAATAATGATGCATTGATGCAGCAATTGCAATTACCGGTCATTATACATAGTGTATAGTTATACTGCATTATCTCAGTGAATTGTACACAGTCTAGATCTATGTATAGGTGCTGTGTTTGGTCTAAAGAAGTGCATCCATTAAAGTACACACACAAGTGTAGACAAACTCATTTGGCACTGCTCAATCAATGTTTATTGAAACTAGAATTAACACTTAAAAACTTTTGCACCTGCCCAGCCGCTAGTAAACAGGCTCAAGCATCTTTGTCTCTGAATTCAATCAAAGGAAGTCTAGGGAGATGTTACTGAGTAAAGTCCTAGTCTTGCTCCTTCTCTGCTTGATGAAATTAGTAACGATCACCAACAGCTGCTGCTCTAACTTCAAAAGTCTTGGATCTCTTGGTGTTGGTGAAGATGAGACGTTTAGTGGCTACCAAATTTTGTATCCTCCTTTTAATTTCACTTGCAACAACAGCCAAATCATTAAATTCATATTTAGTGGTGAAATCAATGGAGTTACATTTTCAAATAATCAAGGAAGAATATCAAAGATACAGCTGTGGCAAAGAAATAGCTTTACTGACTATACAATCATAAAGAGTTGGGATCTAAATCAAAATGATGTTACTCAAAGAAATGACAATTTGCTGGAGCTAGATCTCATAGATTCTGAAGGGAATGGTCCAGCAGTTAATGCAGATACTGTAATTGGGATATTCTTACCTTCACGTAGGCGAAAACAAGTAGATTTATTTTTCACCAGGTCATTAAGTTATTCAGACCATTTCTACTACAAATCAGCTTCTTTCAATCCTTCGTCTTCTCTCAACATCGCTCAAATGACAATAGGAGATGAAACTTATCCAAAAATGACTGTTGAACTATGTAAGTCAAAATATAATGTCATTAATGTTTATTATTATTTTATGCAGCTAATACACTTTGTTCAACTACTACAGACGCCTCAATTATCATCACAACAATGATATTAACTAATACGATTGTTAAATCTACACTGCCAAATAGACCTACTACTACAGTAGTAACAAGATCTAGTATGACATCTACAATGAATCATTCGCCTAATAGATCAACAAGATCAAGTTTAACTACAGCAGTATCACATAATGCTGTCACGTCTAGTGCTAAAATATTTAGCACTGTCCCAGCCTGTGTAACTACAATTACTGTGTTTAGTAAAACACAATCTATTATTGTTAGTTTAACATCAAAATCTGTCCCGTCATCAAGTGCCATCATTATACAAATTACATCATCAGACCAAACGAAAAGATCAAGTCAAGCAGAGTCACCAACTGTAGGTCCATCAAACAGCAGACACATGTCAAATGAACCACAAACATCTAGTCAGGATCCTTCATCAATAAGTGTAACATCAAATACACCACCACCAATAATAAGCACACTAGTAGTGGGTACTACTGATGCAGTAACTACTGGTACAAGCAATCCCATTGAAGGAATTGGTCTTTCTGGTTACATCATTGCTACAGTGGTTAGCAGTGCAGGGTTTTTAGTCGTGTGTTTGATACTCTTTGGTATTGCTTTTTATGCTGTCTGTTTAAGAAAACAAAGAAGTTCCAATCCAGTTCCTACAGAGCAATCCTTAAGCTTTAGTCGGAGACCACAGAGCCAAACCTCAATGTATAGCAACAATGTATATCTCATGAACAAGCTAAAGAAAAAGGAGTTCATTCCAACAGCTAACAATTCCTCACCAAGCCACCATCATTATGATACTCCTAACTTCACTCAATCAAAGGAATCAGAAGAATCAGAGAACAGATACAGCACTCTTAATCGGCTCAGTCAGTTCAATCGTAACCCAGCATACTCAATAGCATCAAACTGTACATTGAATAATGATAATGATGACAACAGCCATGATTATGAAGAAGTGTAATAATTTGACCACATAATGAAAATAACTTGTTCTTAATTAATTATCATAGTCTATTGCAGGATTATGTGCAAACATACATCCAGTATAATTACATATAGGTTGCACCTCATGTCAATATATGTCCATTAATACATTTTTGAAGTATCATTAGTAACTTTAAATGGTGAATTGTGACAGGTTACAGTTGTCTGCCAAAGCTATAGAAGTGAGGGCACAAACATCATTAAATTTTGCTAGGATGAAAAGATTTCCTTATATGATGCATCCTTTGTGGATAGTGGGTCTGATTAGTTGATGATAGTCTTGCCAACAACTCATGCTAAACAGATTAGTACCAGACAACACTAAAGGGCAATAATGGCCCATGGCTTTATATATAATGAGCTTCTGGTAAACAGCTCCCAATAGCCTAAACTCCATGCCAAGCTTTATATTCTTCGTGATGAAAGAAGGTGTACTTTTGATACTGATTCTATCATGTAAGTTTCAGCTTTACTTATCTTTCTATGTTAATGAAATGTTAACATAACAGGCATCATTAAATGCAGCAACTGCTGTTTCCGGAACTTTCCAAAACTCAGTGAAGTACAATCTGCTACTAACACTATTGACACTAGTTCAAATGACATCAGCAGGCAGTATATATTCCCAGAGCTACGGATGACGTGTGACACTAAAATATATCACATAGTCTACAAAGGAGATCCATTCAACTCTCTATCATTACATAATCCACTGATACAACTGTACAGAAAATCTTCATCACGATATATTCCAAAACACCATATAGAATCTTATGAACTGCGATCAGTGAATGAGGGAGATGGAAGCACAACAATATTAACTTTACGACATTCAATAGAGCTGGATGATGATGATGGGGTATACACACTAGGAGTCTTCCTGCCAAGTGGTTCCAGTTTCCACTTTGAAAGGAAACCCAACGCAACACCAGCATATTATGTTGAAACTGATCAAAGGTATAGCACTCTATCAATACAAAGAATGACACGTCAAGAGAGTCTTCTTCCATTGATAACAATGATAACAGGTAATTCATAACAAAGTGAATTTAAAGATTACTGCATTTCTTCTATGCATATAGATTCAGGCAGTTTACCAACTATTAGCTCAAAATCAACTTCTACCAGTAGCTATATATCTATGACAAGAAGCTCTTCACTACTAACAGTTACAGCTAATCAATTGTCTAGTACAGCAAGTACTGCAGTCAATACACCAATGACAACAGGATCAGGTCAGCCTGAAGGATCAGCTTGGATGTATCGTGTAATAATAATACCAATAGTGAGTGTGTTGATCATTGGTTTAGTGACAGGATTCATTGTTGTCACTTGTGTACTAACATACAAGCTAAACAAAGCAAAGGCTATCAACCAGTTGGCATCACGCGACACATTCAAATCATCCTCAAATACATTCAACTCAGGTTTCTCTGTAAGATACGATAAAACAAAGCATCAACGCCAGCAGCAGCACAACTCAATGATAATAAATGAAAGTTATGAAAGAACTACTGCCAGCCCTCATGCATACTCCATTTTAAATGTAGTAAAAAAAGATTTGGAAAGCAGCAACAGCACTACATGCAGTGACATTGATACCGAACAACACTGTCAAACGAATCCCTCTTACGTTCCATCTAATCCTCTACCAGCTTGTAGCCTTGTATATGAAGGGAGAATCCCAACCTGTCATCAATATGAAGACCCAAATCTGTTCCTATCCCCTAACAACTATGAGTGCCCACAAGCAATGAGCAGTATTGAAATACCAAACTATAAAGAAGAGACCATCATCTGAAGAATGTATCTCATAGAACACACACACACACATACACATGTATAGTGGCATTGTAAAAGTTTCACGCAATTTTTCTAATTTAGAAATTAATCGTTTTAAAATGTATACAAGTATAATATTGTAAAACATGTGAAGCCATTATTATCAAAATGATGCGATTAGCTCTCTCTCTCTCTCTCTCTTTCTAAATACTATGGTGTTACAAGCAATTACAAGATGGCTATCGTGAGATAAGAAGGTGGTGGAAAGTGTATAGGGAGACCTGGCATCATGGGAGGTCTCTGTCTTCAAGGTATCTGTACTCAAAGGTGAATCCATCCTTCTTTCTCTGTGCCCACTTCTCATAATCAAAGTAGATGTAAGTTCCCTATACAAAGGATCATTCATCATGTGTACAACACAGGGGCAATGGATGTGATATCACAATGGATCAGTAGTGTACAAACACTAGCTCACATTGAAAGGAAGTTAGAGCAGCAGTTACAAACATTGTTTTGAAGTTTTTTAGTTAGACAAAGGCAGTCAGTTACCATATAAGCAGGCAATTTAGTGAACTAATTCATTTATCACCTTAAAAGCAGTCATGCCACAGTTAAGAGCATGTACTGACTTCCATACATGTACTAACACTAGACCTTAATGTACACAGTCACATGACAGTCACATGTACAGGTTTATGTACCATTTCATAATCATCAGTGATGGTGTTAGGTTCCTCCAGTCTCTGGAACCAGGTCATATATTTTGTATGGAATCTCCAGGACAACTTCTTGAGAGCTTTAGCTGCCATGTACTGTGCCTTGGTACCCTAACAAACAATAATAATAATAATAATGATGATGATGATGATGATGATGCTGATGATCAATAGTGATACCTCCATGTAATAGAATATGAAGAAGAGTGTTTCAATGGAGAGTCTTTGGTAAAAGTCATAAGAGTCCATATGAGAGGGTGAGTGCTGAGGATGGTATGGTGGGGTAGGGTACGGCGTTCTCTGGAGGTACGGCCTAACAATATAAACAACTAGTCAAGCCTGTTTTACAAACCAGTCAATCAAGAAAGATTTTAAAATCGTAAGTAGATGTACCTGACTTTTTCAGAGTCTGAGGGTTCGGGCATGTGCTTATAAGCCGACTCTAACATTCTCAATTGATAAACCTTGTCCTGCCCGAGGGAAATTGGTCCCAGGGGGGCCACACCCAGTAGAGGCTGAATGGGCGTGGCATCTCTAGGGAGGGAACTGGTGGTTGAAGTCCCTAGACTTAGGGCAGCATCTAAACGTGAGCCAGGGGCAGCTGATGGATTGAGTAATGCTGGAGTCATAAAAATAAATAAAGGTGTGTCGTGTTGTGAGTAAAGACTACCTCACCTCTTAAGTTTTGATCCGAAGTATTTCTTTTATTCTCGTTAAGGAGTCCGTGGGTAAGTATTGCCTCTGTCGTGATCTCTTTCAGTGATGACATTGAATCAGTGACTGCTGACGGGTTGGTGGAAGACTAAGAGAGAGGGAGAGGGGAGGGAAGAGTGCTGGTAATATAAAATGGTCTCTGGCTTACATTAGTAGAGAATCCAAACATATCAACAGCTCCACTGACAGAGTTTCCTCCTCCAACTGGAATACCAAAACTACCGAGAGACGAGGGAGAGAACGAGTCTGTGGTTTGTACGGGAAATGAAGTGACTACCGACGGAGGATCACCTAAGGGATCAGCCACCATACTCAAACTGGCCAGATTGGACTCTGCAGTGGAAGACAAAGGAAGGTTCTTTAAACTTCTGGAGGCCGAATGATGCGGTATCACTTTAGGGGGGATGAAACTAAATCTTAGTAAGGGGGCAAGCTGAGGGGATTCTCCTTCCCTCCTTAAAGAAATAAAGCAACAGAAGACCTGTTGTGTATGCACTAAACATATTAGTTATACCTGATTCAATAGTAACTACACATTCATGTACATATACTCCTCACTCATTAACAATAACTATATATAGGTTATTGTGAGCAGAAGAGGTCTCCACTGATAATTAGTGACAGTCATAAACACACAAAAAACAACTAAAATTCCCGAGAAAAATACACTTTCCCAGCAAATTTCCTGGGAAAAATAAACTTTCCCAGAAAATTTCCCAGGAAAACAATATTATACATAATAATAATAATAAATAATAGTTAATAAACTCACCAAACATTACGCTCTGTCCTCCAATCATTTGCTTCCCCAGTACACTCATTCCTAGAGGTAGTCCTCCACCTCCTCCCATTTGTAACCCACCCTCATGATCGTAACTATCACTTCGACCAATAACCACGCCTCCAGCTCCACCCACTGCTGGAATCTTCTCTGGCAACACAGACGGGAAATACTGAGAGCCAGGAGAAGCCATCATGTTGGTTGTAATGGCGACCGGGATCTGCTGTGGGTGGGAGGCAGTTACTGTAGCAACGGAAGGCGGGGCCAGAGGTGGGGAGGGCTTGGCTGATGATTGACTAGGAGAAGAGTCCGGGGGAGAAGTGATACTAGTTGAGACAGTGAGAGAGACAGGAGATCCAACAGCTATTGGAGACAACATAATGAATAGAGCAATATGTAATACAGCTGGTAATTTAAGGAGGGAAGGATTTGGGCAAATTTTTGGTGATTGGCTGATTTACATTTGATCATGTGCCATTAATCATGAACATTGCATTACTACAAAATGGTTCAAAATGGCGGATTGTATTACTATAAAATGGCTTAAAATGGCGGATTGTATTACTACAAAATGGTTCAAAATCGCTGATAGTACTGCTATAAAATGCAAAATTTCTCCTCCAAAATTACCAGCTATACACATGTATACATGTACACAATAAATATTAAGTATTGTTATTATTATTATTATTAATTAATTAATTAATTAATTAATTACTCACAAGGTTGTGATGACGGTCCGGATGATGGTAAAGGAGGATTAGCGTCAATAGTATTACTGACTCCGCCCCCTACTGTCCCGTTCTGAGAGAGTGAGTCTCCCGAGTGAGTGAGGGAGGGGGAGAGGGAGGAGGAGGTGGAGCTTGAGCGACTGTGCTGACTTGGCAAAGATGGAGGTCCTTGAGATCTCATAGGATGAGCTGTCGTTGTGGTAACGGCGGAATTACCACCAATCAGAAGAGAGGAAGTAGTCACATGATCAGCAGATACACCATCAGGTGAGGTCTGCAGAAATACAATTAATATTAATTAAACTATGAATATTAATTAACCTATGAATATTAATTAAACTATGAATATTAATTAGTATACAATCAGGAAAATCAGAATCAAGTGAATAATTACATGTACATGTATTTTTGAACAATGAAAAAATTGACAAAACTTCTGACTGAGGAAAAGTTAAAGCTCAACATAAAGAGGCTATATACTAACCACATCAGGTGTAGTGAGTCCTGCTGGTTCAGAACTGTTCCCTGCTCCTGATCCAGCAGCTGCTACAGCATAAGGAGGTGGGACTGCTGACTGATCCTTAGTGTCTTTATTATTAGGAGTAGCAGCTGCTGGAGTATGAACCTGTTGCTGCTGTAATCCTTTCTGTCCTTTCGGAGACGGTATCGCAATGGGTGTGGTTTGAATATTATTACTATTTGTTCTACTGTTGTTTCCTCCAATTGACGATCCTTTACTAACAGGTGTAGTGATCTTCCCTCCATTATTATTGCTTCCTCTGTTCGAAGGACCAGATCCTAAAGTGAGTGATTTTGGGCCTGGTCGTCGTGGTGATGGGGGCACCTGTGGAAGAGAAACTGTAGCAAGAACAAAGTATACAAATAGATACTCACGTCGTTTCCATGGTCACTACCCAGCGACGAGGTCTTCCCTCTTCTTCTCTCTTCTATTAATTCCTATAATTAATAATAAATAAGAATTAGAAAGGGCGGGATATACAGATGGAGGGTGGTCATGACTACTGTCTCTTAAAGACTGGGGCAAAGGTTTCCCACTAGTGGTAGGTGTCTTCGGCGAAAGAGGACCACTTGACGTCGGAGAACTAGCCAAAGAACTCTCGTCATCCTCACACTGTCCGAAATGTGAGAAACCTGTTGAAACTGAAGAGAGAACTCAATGATGAAGACCAGCTCCGCTTACTTCCAGCTGTTTCATCAAGGTGTAGGTCCTCGTATAGTAACTCGTTTTCAGCAAAATCAGGTTCTTGATTCGACTCGACGTAATAATTTAGGTCATCTTGTATTGTTTTAACATCATCCGTCTCTATTGAAGAATTATCCAACATTCTCATTATAGTCTGGGGAGAGAGAGAGGAGGAGAGAGGGGGAGGGGTAAGGTGTGATATTGTGTTATGGTATACTCACTTCTAATTTTTGAACATGAAACTTGTGTCTTTCCACCCAGTTAGAGAGCTCATCAACTCTTTCCTGTTTCTGTAAATATAAAATAAGTGGATGTTATTGATAAAGTTACTCCAAAACTGAATCAAAGTCCCTGTACTATAGTACAGGGACTTTGGCCAAATTTCGCCAAAAATGAAAAGTAGAGAATTCTCCATTTTAATGACATTTTCTGATGCATATACATGTACTTATGTTGTGTAGAAAGTTTGAGCTGATTCCGATCAAAATTAGATTTTTTATGATTTTTTAAAGTTGCTCAAAAATCGGGCCAAAGTCCCTGTACTATAGTACAGGGACTTTGGCCAAATTTCGCCAAAAATGAAAAGTAGAGAATTCTCAGTTTTTATGATATTTTCTGATCAATATACATGTACTTATGTTGCGTAGAAAGTTTGAGCTGATTCCGATCAAAATTAGATTTTTTATGATTTTTTAAAGTTACTCAAAAATCGGGCCAAACTATACAATACAGTACATGAACATTTCAGATGGTCTTTCTTAATTACTATTGGCAGTAATGCAGGATTGGTCTGGCTGGCCGTTCACATCAAGTATATTAAAATAAACAGAATTACTATCATGAGATAAGATTTTAAAGCCTTCAGTAGTGTAAATACACAGTACACAGTATGTTAAACCAATTAAAGGTAACAGTCTGTAACAGTAAATGATGATACTATAAAGTTTAAAACTAACTTCTCTGTCTAGCTTCTTCTTCTTTGAACTGCTGTGAAGTGTCTCAACTTCACTCTCAAACAGGTCGATTTGTCTTTGCAAATGATCTATGATGTCTGTCAACCATTGTCTTATTTCTTCTTTCTCTTTCTGAGCAGGATCAACTTTTGCTGCTAATCCTAAACCTAAGCAAAAACAGGAATGAAAAGGAAGCATAATTATTATTACAAGAGAGAGAGAGGTATTCAAATTTCAAAACAATAGTCACTTCCCATCCTCAATTTCCCTCTCCCTCTCTCTCTACCTTCTTTTGAATAAGCTTTTGTTTTCGTTTCTCTTTCGATAACTTTAAATCTTTCCATCCTCTAAGAGAGCGAGAGAGATAACAAAATGTCAGACGAAGGACACAAACTAACGGATTCTATCAGTTTCCTGTTGTCCATTAAAGACTTCTTATCTTTAATGTCATTGGATGTTAGCCATGTTTTAATTTGGTCTCTTAGACGCTGAAGAAAAGAATAACAAATGAAACCGTTTTACTTCTCTTGTCTCTTACCTGTAACTTCTTGATCTCCTTCTTCAAATCGGCTTCGTATTTTTCTTTCTGGTTAGCATTAGCGGCAGTTTGTACCTGTACGAGAGAGAGAGAGAGAGAGAGAGAGGGAGAGAAAGAGAGAGAGAGAGAGAGAGAGAGAGAGAGAGAGAGAGAGAGAGAGAGAGAGAGAGAGAGAGAGAGTGAGAGTGAGAGAGAGAGAGAGAGAGTATGAATAAGTAGGTCAACCCTTCTTTCTTTCATCACCTTGCCCCAAATGTCGTCAAAAGTCTCGACTCCTTCCGTGACTTTTTTGAGACACCGATCGATCTCTCCTATAAAGTAAGAGTCCCTCTCAAAGATACCCACCAGCCCACACTATACCTTGAAGCTTTCTCTTGTCTGCCATCTCCTTCAGGTTCCTCCTCCCTGTGACCTGTTAGCTCTTGCTATTAACAATCATCAAGTGACAAAGGGAGACTGAAAGGGAATAGGAGAGAGTGAGAAAAAGATAAGATATTTTGTAAAGAGACAAACCTCCTTACCTCCTCGTGTGGGTCGTTTAATTAGAATAGTAACATTTTCCAATTTCGGGCTTTATACGGTATTAAAAAGTCACGTGATCTGAGCATAAGTAGGCGGAGTCATAGGAGTGGTTTTAAAATGGAGGCAAATACAAATAAACAAAAAAGGAATGAGTAGTAGATCCAGCAGTTTATCAGACCTGTCTATCAGAAGGCACCTGCCTCCTAAAGGGCACCAGGTTTGGCTATTCATTTATTCTCTTTTATTTATTTCTTTACCAGCAGAGACCAGTCGCTAACAGCAGCAAGGAGAGAAAGAGAGGGCAAAGGCTAGAGTAAGGACTTACTTGTTATAAACTGCAAATTATATTCTCCTTTGCAGCTGGAACGAGTTTAATTTAAGGCCTGGGACGGTCCCTGTCAATGGTCTACTGGACCAAAATGTTAGTGCAGAATTTAGTGTTAAATTTTAAAAATTTTGAGCAACAAAATTTAAAAAAATATTCCAGCCATTGTGCATGCACAACACTTAATTTTTTATTATTTTATGATTTTAGGATCAACTTTCAGTTGAGTCTGTTCCGATTCCGTTGAGTTCCCGAGTACATGTCCATCATCATCAGAGTCGAGTGACCACTCCCTCTAGGACACCTCAGGGTTCCTCGAGGAGGAGGGGAGGGAGGAGAAATGGAGGCAGCGGTTTCTCAGTGAAACCATTGCACCATCGATATTATGAGAATAAAGATGAGGGTTTAGTAACAGGAGGAGAATCAGTGCCTTCTCCCACTGAGATACAGCAAGAGAGAGGTGGGAGGGAGAGGAGGGGAAAGGCTGATTCTGTTAATGTTCCAAGAACTAAAAGCTGTATCGAAACTGCTTCACATTCCAAGTCCCATTCTGGGCACCAGTCTCAGTCTAACTTCATCTCCAGGTCTCATTCTCATTCCGGTTCTCGTTCTCATTCTGGTTTTCATTCTCGTTCCGTATCTGATTCTCAGTCTCAATCTGGAGGAACTACATCTGATTTGTCTGACGTTGCGTTAGAAGACAGCGTTGATCAACTCTCATCTGAGATTGATGCGATATTGAATGGTATCAATAGCGGACTGATACTATCAGAGAAGGACACTAACTCTTCTGCTCTTCCTTTTTTGGAAGGCAGCTGTAAGAAACTTCATGTACCTCCGTCAAGAACAAAGGAATCTAGAACAAGATTAAATGGAGACTCACTTTTAACGAGACGAGAGACTGAGAAAGAGATGGATAATGTTTTGCAATCTGATAGAGATAATATTACTAGTAACGGCAAAGAAGAAGAAGAAGCTCATCTTTTAACTTTAAGCAAACCTCTTGATGTAAAGAAGAAAGAGGTAGCCATTGAAGATAGTGAAGCTACTAAGAACAGTGCGGCCATTAAGAACAGTGCGGCCATTAAGAACAGTGCAGCCATTAAGATTCAGAGATGGTTCAGAGAGAGAAAGGGGAAGGAAAGGAAAACAGAATTACAAGAGCTTCTGAAATCAAAGAGAATTAAAATGAAGAAAGATCTTGAACAGCACCAAAGCTTCAATGAAGAGGTAATGAACGCTGTAGCAATATAGCATTATAACTAGTGGCCCAAAATTTTTGCAAATAGCCAGCAAAATTTCTTTTGCATATTTTATTTTTACGAACGCACCTGTAGAGGAGTAATAAATATTTTGAAGGATTAAATTTCCCAAAATTCACAAGATTTGTAGAAATTTTGAGCTACAAAAGTTTTTAGTTTTTCAATATTTTATTTCATTGCTGGTTTATGATAGGAAGAGCTTGCTTTGCAAGAGAAGCAGCAAAGGAGAGAAACAAAAATGAGGGCAGCAAGGCAAGCAGCCATTGAAGAACTGAGGAAGAAGAGAGAGGAGAAGAAACAAGAGAGGGAGAAACTGGTTGCTGAAGAAATGGTACAAATACAATAATTTAAAAATAAATGATAATTTGTAATGGCTAGGCTGATCTTGAAGCAAAAGGCAAAGTGAAGAAAAGAAAGCAAACGACAATAAAAAAGAAAAAGTCGGAACAAGATAATGGCAGTAGCACTTCTTGTAATGTGGAAGGAGGAGAGAGAAAAGAGACAAACAATATGGAGTCGAATAAAGATGGAGATAAAGCTGACACAGCTAAGGAAGAGAAAGAAGGAATTGATGAGAAAGGAAGAGCAGAAGAAAATGGAGAGACAGAGAAGAAGGAGAATGAAAAAGAAACAGAAATTGATGAATTCTTTAAGGTAACGAAATGAATCAATATGGAGATATTAATAACATATATTGTAGGCTGGTAAAAGAAAGCCTCTTTCTCCTTCAGCCCCACCCCCTCCCCCTCCCACTTCTAACACTATGGACAGTATTTACGCTACTCTACGGGAACTTGAGGAACCTCCCCCTCCTCTACCAGGGGCGGAGTCCTCTCCAATCGCTTACCTTTCAATGGAGAACGTTCAAAAATTAAACATGACAGAAACAGGAGACAGTAGCAAGTTGCAGACTATACTGACATACCTTGATGAGGTAGAGAGGAGTGACCACGCCCCCATACAGGACATAAAGGAACAACCCACGGGTGAAGGAAAGACACAAGTACTCAACGAGCAGCTGGAAGCAGCTTCAGCAGTAGCTAATGATGTAACGACGACAATCCTCACCCAAAGAATGGAGATCGATAACAAGAACAAGACAGTTGATATGCTGCAGAAAGCTCTTAAGCAGCAGCGTGAACTAACTGTGTATCATGCTAAAGAGATGGAGAAGGAAGCCCAGAAGAGACTGGAGTTGCAAAAACAAGAATACGAGACAACGATACAGCGACACCAGTGCTTCATTGATCAGCTGATTGATGATAAGAAAGTATTGAGTGACAAGTGTGAACTTCTTATTAAAGAACTGAAGGAAATGGACAGGAAGAATAAGATGAAGATAACTAACATGGAGACCCAGTAAGAGAAGACATGTTCCATTAAAGATAATACTAATATACTGTACCTCTCATTATAATCTCACGCATGTTCTTATGTTGTGTAGAAAGTTTGAGCTGATTCTGATCAAGATTGAATTTTTACGAATTTTTAAAGTTGTTCAAAAATTGGGCCAAAGTCCCTGTAACGTAGTACAGGGTTTTTGGCTATGAGAGATTTCTCCATTTATTATTATTATCATTGTTGTTGTTGTTGTTGTTGTTATTATTGTTGTTGTTGTTGTTGTTGTTGTTATTAGACATGCAGCTGAATTAGAGAAACAGAAACAGACTCATGCTGCAGCTGAGAAGGTTCGTCGGGAGAGATGGCGAGCGGAAGAGACCCAGCGAATAAAAGAAGCAACAGTGAAGAGTCTTGAACCGGAGATACAACGAATAATTGGAAAGGGAAAAGCAGAAATACAAAAACTAAAAGCTGTCCATGAAGTAAAGCAATCATAAAATTATATAAATAAGTACATGTACTGTATAAAAAATATTTCTTTATTTTATGTTATAATATAGTAAATTATTATTTTTTGTCGTAATAGGCGGAGTTATTGCAAAGTGATGAGAGAGTGAGCAGACGATTCACTCAACAAATTGAAGAGTTGAGACTTCAAAACGCTCAAGAGAAAGAACTGGCCTGTCAACACGAGAGAGAACTAGCACGACAAAAGTATCAATGTAACATTCAAAGACTCATTCTGACATTATTCACTCCAGATATGAGCAGTTAGCTGAACAGGAGGAAAGGAGCTACCAGCAATTGAGGAAGAAGCTGTACTGTGAGATACAGCAGGAGAGAGAGAAGCTGACAGCAGAAATGAATGGACACAATAATGCCCTGGAGAAGCAAATCAAAGATATGAAAGTAATGTCTGTAGCCTTGTACAACAATTGAATTAATGGTGGTGCTACTTTTAGCTTGATAGTTAATACTTTAAGTGATAAAGCAGCATTATTGGGAGTATATTTAAGAAGACAATGTATGAGTTAATTTTTGTGTATTAGGAGAGTCATTCTAATGAGATATCATCCCTCAAGTCAGAACAAGAGATAAGAATAGTTGAACTGCAAAGAACACATTCAGTAAGAAGACTATGTGTGTCCATTATCATTATTATTGTTGTTATTTTTGTGTCTTAGACTGAATTTAAGGAGCTTCAGGAAAGGATGAAAATTGAGCGCCAAATGTGGGAAGAGAATTACCTCAAGAAACAGGAGGCGATTCTAATGACAAGGGAGAGAGAGATGAGAGAAAGATTGAGAAGAGAGAGAGACATGGAGATAGAGACCGTTATTCAGAAGTTAGAAAAGGAGACAGCGACTGCTAGAGATGAGACCGAGAGAGGAGCAGAATCAAGAATAAAGTGAGATTTATTATTATTATTATTATTTCAAGTACATGTACATGTACATGTACTTGTACATGTAATATGATTTATTAGTGTATAATATTTGTGTAGGAGAATACGAGAGAAATATGAGACTGAATTACGAGAAGTTGAGAGATCAGAAAAGAACACTCTTCAAAAATTTAACACAATGAAAGTAAGTACATGTTTTGAGTAACTTTAAAAAATCATAAAAAATCTAATTTTGATCGGAATGAGCTCAAACTTTCTACACAACATAAGTACATGTATATGCATCAGAAAATATCATAAAAATTGAGAATTCTCTACTTTTCATTTTTGGTGAAATTTGGCCAAAGTCCCTGTACTATATATAGTACAGGGACTTTGGCCTGATTTTTGAGTAACTTTAAAAAATCATAAAAAATCTAATTTTGATTGGAATCAGCTCAAACTTTCTACGCAACATAAGTACATGTATATGCATCAAAAAATATCATAAAAATTGAGAATTCTCTACTTTTCATTTTTGATGAAATTTGGCCAAAGTCCCTGTACTATAGTACAGGGACTTTGGTCCAATTTTTGAGTAACTTTAAAAAATCATAAAAAATCCAATTTTGATCGGAATCAGCTCAAACTTTCTGCGCAACATAAGTACATGTATATGCATCAGGAAATATCATAAAAATTGAGAATTCTTTACTTTTCATTTTTGGCAAAATTTGGCCAAAGTCCCTGTACTATAGTACAGGGACTTCGGCCCGATTTTTGAGTAACTTAAAAAATTCATAAAAAATCTAATTTTGATCGGAATCAGCTCAAACTTTCTATGCAACATAAGTACATGTATATGCATCAGAAAATGTAATAAAAATTGATAATTCTCCACTTTTCATTTTTGGCAAAATTTGGCCAAAGTCCCTGTACTATAGTACAGGGACTTTGGCCCGATTTTTGAGTAACTTAAAAAATTCATAAAAATCCAATTTCAATTGGAATTAGCTCAAACTTTTTCTGAGTATCATAAATATATGTATCATGCATCAAGAAATGTAATTATTAAAATGGAGAGTATATTTACTTTACCTTCTATAAATGTGATACTTGTTGCTTCCTCTTTGAACTTCAACTTCATAAATCTAAAAATATGAATGGAAAGAGTTTTCACTAAATATAAGCTTCATTAACAAAAGGTTTCTCATTATCGGAGCTGCATTTTAAAACTAAAAATTATCATAATTGCTCACATAAAATTTAGTATCAAGTCTTCTCTTATCAAAGTTAGTAATCGTTGCATGAAGAGAAGCTCCAGAGAGATCTTCGTCTGATGAACACCTAAAATAAATAAATAAATAAATAAATAAATAAAAATAATTATAAAAAATAATAAAAGTAATAAATATAAAGAATAATAATAATAATAATAATAATAATAATAATAATAATAATAATAATAATAATAATGATAATAATAATAATAATAATAATAATAATAATAATAATAATAATAATAATAATAATAATAATAATAATAATAATAATAATAATAATAATAATAATAATAATAATATTAAAATAAAAAATAATAATACTTTAACTTACAGTTGCTTTAGTTTATGGAGCTCTCTGTCAGCTAACATTTTCAAATAATTCTCGCCATCTTGACTCTTTAAGAACCCACTCAAGAACTCTCTCTCCATTTGCGTATAAACGTGCAACTGGGCATCATTGAATAACTCTAAAATAAATTAAAAATAAATTAAAATGTTATCTTTAATTTGACAAGGCTGTTAAATCGCCAACATAAAATCCGTCAATTACAAATTTGTAACAAATTAATAAAATTTAACTCCGGCCGATAGGTCCAGCTGCACATTAAGCTATACCTTGAGAAGGAGTTGACTCTATCTTATTAAATATGTCCCTTTGAATGTCTCTCGGTAGAGGAACAGGTACTTCAGCGTAATACCCAATGTATTTAGTAACTAAAGGAATGAACTGATAAGGAGCAAGAGATAGGGGCATTATTTTACCTATGTGGTGAGCAAATATTTTTAAATCTTCGTTGCTTCCGTCAAAGTGTTTGAAGTGCTCAACGTCCAACCAAAAGACGATGTATTCAATGATATCATTAGCAACACAATAGTTGACAAACTAAAGAAGAATACGTGTTAATAAAAATTAATTTATTTAAATAAAAATATAAGCATACACGTACATCAATTATACATTTCATAAAACCTTTTGGCATATTACAGTACATTCTAGTATATTTCAGTATATTCTAGTATATTTAGAGTGCAATACGAAGATTAACGTACCAGAGTAACTCCATTTTCATCGAACAGTAGTGACCGAAGAGAAGAAAGAACATTGGAAGGATCATGATTTAGATTAGGCTCAGAATATGATGGTCTAATCGCCGGTTGACTATAAATAAAAATAATTTTAATAAAAAATAAAACTAATAATATTTTAATTACCTTGCTGATGAATATAAAGTGATGGATCGTGTGAGAGACTCCAGTTTAGGATTTAGTGTCACAACTTCTACAGGTGGTTTGGCAGCAGCTGATACTATTAACTGATGGTGAGCAGGAGGAGGAGTAGCCTGTTGATATAAGAGGAAGAGAGAGAGAGAGGGGGGAGGGAGGGGGAGGGAGGAAGGGAGAAGAGAAGTTGGATAAACATGTACATGTACACATGTAGACAGCTTTATGTAGCACAAATTTATTTTACAGAAAAAATTAGTCATTTACATAAAACATGTACACATTACAAATAACTTGAAACATGATTAAAGAGGATCAGTAGTAGTACAATTATACTATAGTATAGGACACACACACTCACACACACACACACACACACACACTCAAAGCAGCTCCAACCACTATACTATGTACTCCAGGTAATCTATAAATGTACATGTACACACGCTGCCCACTAATCAGGTAGAGGGTACTATAACTTTTAAATAAATTAGCAGGTGCTAATTAGCTACAAGAGAGTGGGTAGATTATAAGTACTCTGATGGCCCCACAGATAACATGCAGCTGGAACCAAATATGGTAACATAGTGAGGTTTGGGTCAGTATGTACTTGTACTTGTTGTCATATAATGACCATAGGGTTTCCATGAGGGTGGGAGCCAGCTGGAATATATCCCTCTAGGGCCTGTTATAGACTGATGACACTTAATCAAGTTATAGAATTTAAAATGGACATGAATCTAAGCCATTATGGAGTAAAGGTAGGGGCTGGCTATTCAGCCATTATTTCACAAGTTGCATTCATTTTTGGCAATCACGTTAAGCAAAAAATCAAAAACAACAACAACACAAGTCAAGTTTGAAAACAACAAAACTCAAGCCGTACATGTACATGTACATGTACATGTACACGTACATAAACTAAAAAACAATTTCTTTAAAAGGAGGTACAATTAAAATCATATTTCCTCTCCTCTAATGGAAGACACCATACCTCATCAGTGGCAGCCATTCCATCATTACTAGTGGCCTCACTCACTCCACTGTCTGTCGAAGGAGAAGGTGAAAGGATCAACGAAGACATCTTACCATTAGCTCGGCCGTTCTCCTGAGACACAGGTGAGTACGGTGGGTCAGTGGTTACTAGTTTAGAGGTCACAGGCGGAAGGGAGGTGCTACGGAATCTCAAGGGACTCCATTTCTCACTGAAAACCGGCGAAATACACTTTGAACAACACGGCTCGCCCTGACTGGCATAGACTTTAGTGAGAAGAGAAAATTTCTAAAAAAAGGAAATGTAAAAACAATAATATCAATAGAAATATGCCTAGCAATTGAAATATTAATAAGGACAGGTGCAACATGTCTTGGGTCCCGCCCACATCACCAAGCTAAAATGTTTTACCAAATATGGTAGCACACATGTCGTGTTTATTCAGTGACAATAATGAGAGAGAAGGTATTATTACAGTGAAGGAAGTAACAGGTTGACCTTTTCTCCCTATAAACCATTTAACACCATCATATGTTAAACACTCTTTGCCTTTTAGACAAAACATAAAACCATACATGTATATGTACATGTACATGTACATATGTATTTCTCTCAGATACATTACACAGCCATTGAAAGTTTTAAAAGCCCCAAAAACCACAGGACACTCGTGTTGATAAAACAAACACCAAAAGACACAAAAGGAACAACTTTACAAGACAACAAAAATAAGTGGTTGATCAAAAAAGCAGCTTTAGTGATCACTCATGTGCTGCCAAAACATCATGTGCTCATATTTGAAATAATTTGGTAATACAGGGAATTGAGCAGAAGTAAACAGTTTAATAATCGACTGCCAAATTGATGACAAGATATGCAACAACACAAAATAATGTAATAATTAAGTCAAAAAAGGCAGTAGTTAGCAGCTGTAACCAACACCCAAGCGCCAGCTTGATGTACATGTATATTTAATATAGAGAATGGCACATGTACATGTACACGAGACACTGACTAGCTATGTGTACTTAATTCAGTCAATGTTTAATCTCTGTGTGTGTGTGGCGGAATGATATTAAAATTCTAATAATGTAATAAAGAAAGTCATAATAAAAATATAATAGTCTGTGAATTGGAATATTATTCAAAAGAGAATGTAAATAGCAAGTCATGCCTGCTCTGCTCTAGGACATTACATTTTGTATGTGAACAGACATTGTACATGAGTAGCCATAATAGAAGGAAGGGAGAGAGGGAGGAAGAGAAAGAGGGGGAGAGAGAGGAAGGAGGGAGAGGGAGGGAGAGACAGAGAGGAAGGGAAGGTAAGGGAGTCTACTCAACACTAATTAACAATAATCAACACATGAAAACTGTCACAACATGAAGATGACAACCACAACACACACACACACACTCACTTTTATATTTACATATGCCCACAGCAGAGGGTTACATCACGGGTTAAGTGTATGTCCATAAAATAACAGAAATTACTCCAAACACAACTGGTAATTCAATAGGTGCTTTTAATTACAAGCGTACAAGAATAATTCTTAGAATTATACACAAGATTAACTGTCAAGGAGACAGAAGTGAAGATCAAATGAATCCCTGTACATTAATAGCCGGATAATCCTATTTCCTAATGACCTGTAGGTTTTCTACATTCACAGATCATAAACTTGAACCATACACCAATTAACCTCCTACCCGTACCATCCTGCCATAGTTCAACTAGCAAACAACAAACAAACTAACTAACTGCAACACATGATGACGATGATACAATGAACTTTATAACTAATAGGATCAGGTATACATACAGCAGTAATTCATAACCTCCTGGAGGAATGTTGTGGAAGTTTATGTTTGAATAGTCCCAAAGATTAAAGGCCTCGTTAGAGAAGGTATTTAAAATATGCTCAGGAGACAGGGAGTCTGGTGTACTAATAATTTAAACCGGCAGTGACGTTATATTGCAACTAATATGTACATGTATTTTACTGATATTGATCATTGGAGTCATGAAGTACTATGTTAATAATTAACAATGGTTTTGTTATAGTGGAAGGGAGTTGTCAAACATTGACTGTATGTGTTATTCTTCACACGTCAAGTAACATAAACACTATCCAATGGTAATTAGAATATGATACCATACACTTTTAAAAATAACGACAGCTGCAAAGACTTACCAGCAAAAAAATAACATAATAGCATAAAAATATCATTATTATCATTGGTAGTATATTTTTGATTAAGTACATAAATCAAACGCACTAAATGAATAAAGGGGTCCCACCTATTGTAGTCTACGGCCCAATATTTATCAACAAATACAGCATGTCCTCAAGCAAGTTAGCCCACCCTACAGCAGGAGTCACGCATTGTGTACATTTCTTGGACTAACTGACCTGTTTACACTGAGAACACGCCAAACAATCCTCATGAAAGTCCTTTTTAAGGACGGAGACATGATTCTGAAGGATCTTATTCCGGCAGGTGTGACAAGATGGGGTACAAACAAGACACAGTGGCTGTCCATGGACGTTGACAAGAAACATCTCCATGGAGCCAACGGGTTGGCTACACTGGCCACACTTGAAGCAATCAAGATGGAGCTTGTCTTCGCCGAATAAAATGAAGGCATCGTCTTTGCGATTAATGAAACCTTGGCACTTGGAGCAAAGGGAGATCGGGGTCTGCTCTTTCTCGGTTTCTTCCTTGCCCTCCTCTCCCTCCTCCTCTCCCTGACTGTTGTCACAAGATGATGAGGAGCCTGAACTAAAGGAGGCTCTTAGTTGCATTGATATCTCTTGTATCTCTGTCTCATCCTCTTTCTCTGGCTGGGGCATGTTCCCTTCTTCTTTGCTGTAGGTCTTCAAGGGATGGCGGTTCTTCCCTTGATAAGATCCGTGTAAGCTTTTAGACTTGGCTCTACTTCTTGTTGGTCTCTGCTCCTTCGCTACGTATCTCAGTGTCTGTATCCTTCTCACGCGAGTGAAGTCAAGCTGTTCTTTCTCTGCTTCTCTCAGTGTCTCTCTAAAGGAGGCCTCGCTACTCCCACCTGCCATTTTACTGCTAGGTGGATGAACAGAAGCTGTTGCTAGTAGTCTTGAGAGAGTCGCTGATCGTCTTTGCTGCTGCTGCTTGTCCTTAGGATTGTAGTGGCCGGGGGAGAGAGCTAGAGAGGCCATATCTCTTTTGTGGTTTATTTTTTCTCTACAAGAACTCCTCGTGGCTCGTCATGAATGAATTTTTTGATGCTTTTAGTTGACTAAGTTGACAAAAGATAAACTCTGCAAAGCCCCACCTCCAATTAGCTGCATACCAGCCCCGCCCAAAAATGGCTGCAGCAGCTACTGCATCAGCACTATCTTATTATCTCGTATTAGATTTTGAAGCTACTTGTAATGCATCTCATCTTCCAAGTCCAAGACCACAAGAAATCATAGAGTTCCCTGTGCTAGCTGTAAATGCAAAGACGCTAGAAACTGAGAAGATATTTCACACTTATGTCCGACCCACTTCACACCCACTATTGACCCCATTCTGTACTCAACTGACTGGTATAACCCAATCACAAGTTGACGGTCAACCAACACTACCTGAAGTTCTGCGTAGCTTTCATTCGTGGCTTGAGACCAACGGTTTCTTAGAGCCCTCCGTTAGGTTTTGTTTTGTGACGTGCGGCGATTGGGATCTTAAAACCATGCTCCCTGGACAATGCAAGTACTTTGATTGGCCAGTCCCGGAGTACTTTCGCAGTTGGATGAACATCAAATTTGTTTTTCAGAGGCTAACGGGGGTAAAGGCAAAAGGGATGCCACATATGCTTGAGTACTTTAAAATCCCGTTAGAGGGAAGGCACCACAGCGGCATTGATGATAGTAGGAACATTGCTAAAATATTGACTAGACTGGCCAGAATTGAAAGTAATCTCCAACCAACAACGACACTTAAACTAAGCAAATAGAGAAAGTTTATTTTAGCTAATAGCAGACATAGCTAAGAGAAATTGTTTGTTGTTTTTTTAAGTTATTTTAGCACTTATACACAAGTTTTTATTTTTATTCGTTGGGCAGATTACTGCTCTACTAGTTGGTTTTAATTTTGTATAGTATACAGTACTGAGCACTCTGTTTACATTTCAAACCTGATCCACACAACAAGGATGAACTCTACACTTTTAGTGTAGTGATGTCAAAGGTGGTACTTGCAGAGGGACTCTTTTGTCAAACTGTGGCTTACAAACTAGCAGTTTGTTGTTTAAATCAATTTCAATGTTTTTTGAAAATATTATATATTGTTATATGCTTGTAGTTTAACATAGACTCAATTTCAGGATTATAAACTATTTAAAGTGTTGTGCAAAAGCAGCTAGCAGCTTCTTCAAAATCAGAAAAATTCTTTCTTCAAGCTATACCACAGTACCAGTATAATACAAGCAGTAACATGGGTCGTAAGTTAAAGGTCTACTAGAGGCATGAGCATTACTATTTTGTCTAGTTCTAATGGCTAAAGATGACGAACCAACCTTTATTTGGTGGATAGGGCAAGCAAACACACCAAGGCTAAAAGCTCGCTATTGGCTCCAGTTTGGAATATTCAACATTATTAGTTTAAGTGTTATATTAATTGGAATCCCTGCTTTGATATTGTTGATCCCAGCCACAATATTTGCATATCAGGTAGACAAGCACTAATAAATTACTGTTGTTCATGCATCAGTTGCTTTATACAGGCTGTCATAAAATATGATGAAGGAGATGAGGGTGCCTGCAAGACAAAGACATCAATTTCATCACTTTTGAGCATATTGTCTATGATTGTATTTGTACTTTGTGTTGGTGGTACTTCTGCAGCAATATACCAATTTTTGTAAATTCATAAGGTTGCTGTCCTCATATTAATAAACTCTCCTAGCACTGTGTACAATTGTCAGTTGTTTTTTATTATTAATTTTTAGAGAGTGGGTAGTATACACTAAAATCCATTTAGTAGAAGAGGTTCATGTTTATTTTTGTGTAGATTTCTTTTTAACTGTTTTTATTTGATGCAAAACTTATGAAAACTGCAGCAAAGTACAGCCCTGCAAGGCAAAACGCATAGCTTGCACTTTAACAGTTTGTTATGCAAGAGCTCAAATTAATCTTAATGTTTTTTAACACATTTAATTGATGGTTTGACATTATAGCTACAACTTATTCAATTTCACAATTAAAAGCTATATAAAGTGTCATGCATGCATGAATGCTGAATAACTACTTCTCCAAAACAGGACAAAAGTCTTTCTTCAGGCAATACACTTAGTATACAATCAGTAACATCATGGGTTGTAAGTTAAAGGTCTACACATATAGAGGCATGAACATTGCTATTTTGTCTAGTTCTATTGGCTAAAGAAGATGAACCAACCTTGTTTTGGTGGATAGGACAAGCAAGTACACCAAGACTAAGAGCTCGCTATTGGCTACAGTTTGCAATAATCAACAGTATTGCTTACAGTGTAGTGATAGTTGGAATCCCTTCTTTGATATTCTTCATTCCAGCCACAATACTTGCATATCAGGTACATACAAACTGATTACTGTTGTTCATGCATCAGCTTTTTGTTATAGGCTGTCATAAAATATGATGAAGGCAATGAAGAGGCCTGCAAAACAAAGACAAAAATTTCAGCAATTTTGAGTGTATTGGGTGTTTTGACATTTGTTGCTTGTGTTGCTGCTGTAATAGCAATAGAATTTGCAGGAACAGATCTGTCAGTGTTATAAATTGACTACACTTGCATGATGGATGCATAAAGTGCAGTAATGAACATCATAAATATCAGTAGACTTTAACAGTTGTAGTATTTTGTATTATTAAAATTAATTAAATTAATGTTAGTTGAACTAGTAAGGAGTGAAAATCATCATTTATAGCATTAAGGTAGACAAACAGTTATTCTAATACAGCAATCAGTTGATTTGATTATGTTATTTGCTTTTGAATTTTGTCATAGTCATATTCAGTTTCAGAACATTGCAAATCCTATTTAAAGCAAAGCAGCTTTCATGCAAGGAAAATTTCTCCAAATCCAAAGCCTCCAAAGAACTAATTTATCTAAGCCATCATCATCATGAGTTGCTGTGAGCATTAATCTACTTTAAACTCTGTAACTGCAATTCTTTTAATTTCTTATGTCTTTCAATGCAGGCTGTGCAGGTGAGGGTGAACCAACCTGTATATATTGGATAGGGCAAGCTGACACAGCAAGGCTGAAGGCTCGCTTTTGGCTGCAGTATGGAATCATCAATTGCATTGTTTTTGGCATATGCATCCTCTTTACCTGGCTGGTGTATGCCTTCCCAGTAATTGGGGCTATTCTTGGCTACATAGTAAGTTCTATTCTTTTTGAAGCATGATTGCATGTATAAGAGAAGTTAAGAGAAAGAGAATCTACATAGCATTTATGTTTTATTTTAAATCATGTAGGCATTGAAAAAGTTTGATGATGGAAATGAAGAAGGTTGTGATTCCTATACCAAGTATTCAATGATAGTCAGCATTGTTGGAACAGTCCTTTGCTCAATTTTTGTTGTTTTAGCCACTATTGGCATTGCCTTGAACAATGCCTGATCCACGATGTGTTTCAGTTAAAACTTGATAGTTGAAACCATTATTTTTTACACCTGATTTAATTTGTTATTTTTAGTACTAGTATTATCATCAATTTTCAAAAAAATTATTTTCATTCACACACACCATATAATAATAATATAAACACAAGGATGCAAACATATCAATACATCTTTATTACTAAGAGCCAAAGGTATGCATGGCATCTGGCACACAAGAATCTTCAATCATCTTTCAATCATCTTTTGATTAAAAAATAATAAACTGTTGGCTGAGGCTCCTCTTGTGTTGTACATTAGAGTAAACAAACCATGTGATGGCATCAAAGTATGAGGTATACTTTTTTGTTTTGTGCATCTATAGCTAATTTTGATCAAAATTAGTTTAAAAAAAATTTTTAAAGTTACTCAAAAATCGTACAGGGACTTTGGCCAAATTTTGCCAAAAATAAAAAATAGAGAATTCTTAATTTTTATGATATTTTCTGATGCATATACATGTACTTATGTTGCACAGAAAGTTTGAGCTGATTCCAATCAAAATTAGTTTTTTAATGATTTTTTAAAGTTACTCAAAAATCGAGCCAAAGTCCCTGTACTATAGTACAAACTTTGGCCAAATTTCACCAAAAATGAAAAGTAGAGAATTCTTCATTTTTATAATATTTTCTGATGCATGTACATGTACTTATGTTGCATAGAATGTTTGAGCTGATTCTGATCAAAATTAGATTTTTTATAATGTTTTAAAGTTACTCAAAAATCGGGTCAAAGTCCCTGTACTATAGTACAGGGACTTTGGCCAAATTTTGCCAAAAATGAAAAGTAGAGAATTTTCAATTTTTATGATATTTTCTGATACATATACATGTACTTATGTTGCGTAGAAAGCTTGAGTTGATTCTGATCAAAATTAGATTTTTTATGATTTTTTAAAACCTGACTACTATAGTACAGGGTAGATCTACTCATTTAATAATGGTGGGAGGGGATTTTCCATTTTATTACATTAGATATATCCAGTAGTCACATTATTATCTCATGTCAATGATCACATTATCAAAAACATCACCTGCAGCTATAACATCAGATTGGGCCTCCCAATGATGAATATAATGACTGCAGTATTATTAGTATAAACATATACACGTGCATAGCATATTAAATAAAGACAGATACTATGATGAAATCACTATTACTGTCTGGCCACTTCACTCTTGATACTAAAACCAGACAATAAAGGTCAGTACAATCTAAGCATTCTTTTACTCCATTGCAGTTGCCCCTTCCAACCAACCTACATACATACTAATACCTGGCTACATTCAATATAGCAATATATAATATAATAAAAAGTAATTACACGTATATACGTTGCTGTCTGTATGCTAAACTTTCAATCTATATTTACAATACACTCTAGACTGTGTACTTTTATCAATAGTTGATAGCAGTTTCACTCTAGTTTCATTGGCACACAATGTACACACACACAATCATCATGATCATTAATACTGCGTCATTGAAAGCAGTACAGCACATGCTCCACTGACAAGTAGAACAGATACAGCTCCTCCAAATAAAGAGAGCAAGTTGCAAATAAAGGACTTGCGGCGATACTTAACCATAGATCCCTTGTCATGTCTTGCTTCAGCAGCTCGAGCCTGCAAAGGAGGACAAACAGTCATTGACACCATTATCATAGGAACAGGAACTAATACTGCAGGTTGTGCATGTAACAGTATTGTTCAGTGGCATACTTTTAAAGAGTAAACAATGGCTGGAATGGAGCACAATAGTGATAGCCAACTAGCTGAAACAGTGTAGAGAACGGCTAGGAACATGGAGGCTTTTAAGTGATGGTCTCTTCGTTTGCGAGGTAGGCTGTGGTTTGCAACTAGCTGGAAAGATCCATTAGGAATTAATATTGGTAGAGACTGTAAGTGAGAATTACTGACAATAAACCAGTTGGGGATTGCTGTATCTTACGTGTACAATGGTATACTGAGAAGATTGGTAGGCTGGGGGAGATTCGCCATCATGGTCTCCCTCTAAACAAAAGATGCGAGTTAATTTGTGCCTTTATTAAGAGTGAACTATCTTACCTTCCTATAATAATAATGAAAGCATGTTATTATACCATTTAAAGAAATAACTTACATTTTCTTTGATCAAAGCAGAATATGATGGCAGATCCATTGGTAGTGCTTGTTGCTGATGCGCCTGCATCATTCAATCATCAGCCTGTGCGTGGGCGTATCCTTTTGCAACTAATTAGCCACACCCTTCTGCAAAAGAAATGCATGAGGAATTGAATTGACTCTATTTAAAATTCATTGATTAACAACACACAAAATGTTTTTCTTAACTGTTAAAGATAACAATTATGACAAAACAGGCAAAGCTGACAGCTCCAGTGATCATGCCAGCTATATCAAGTATAAGAGCAGTCTTGGCTTTCTTCTCCATAGTTACATTGTCACCTCTCGATTCAGCATCTTGCGCCTATCATAAAAACAAACGTAGCTAAACTATCCAAAAAAACAAGCTATACTTAAATCAAAACCACAATTCTGTGATTTAATAAGATCAAATAAAGACAATTTAGACACTTTTATCTTCAAATTGAAGAGGTACTGTGTTTTTCTACTTGTAAGACACTTTTAAAAAGTCAAAACAACATGAATTCTATTGATATTTACACCCTGTTTCTCACACAGAGCTGCAGGCTTACAGAAAGTGCAAATAAAATGGCTGGAATAGTGCAAATGAGTGTGAGCCATCCACAGAACAGGAAGCAGACTATGGAGATGATGATGGACAGGAGAAGATAGTGATCACCAGTTCCAAAACGACGCTCGTACACCACAAACGTTGGCGGCTGAGTAATAACAATTGTCTATAAATCGTGAAAAAGCAAAAAATTAAGTGCGGGAATAAGAAATGAGGTTCATTACTTGGCCACCAGGAGGACTTGTAAGAGGTTGGTTCTCTAAAATATAAAAATAACATTATTATTACAGTGAATTCGGTTCACAGACTATTCTTCCATAACTCACCTCCAGACATTTTGAGCTGAGGTCTACAATAATGCACGTGATTACCATTAGCTCACCCAGCCACACCCATTAACAGCTGAGCTGGCTTCCTTGCCTGCGCTTGCTGCTAGTGATGAATAGTTTCTGTCATTGTTATAATTTTACAAATTCAGAGAGTAATGAATAAGTAGGACAATAAATATTATAGATACAGCAACTATGAAAGAGAGTACAGCAAATAGATTGAACTGAATGGCAGAGTATATTACTCTCTCAGCCTTTTCATCGTCTCGTTCTTTCTCTGCCTCTTGAGCCTGCAATAGCATTGAAATAAATAATATGCATTCAAGCCTTAACTGCAGTAGCTTACAGCAATAGAATAAAAGATAGCAGGGACTGTACAGATCAGGGTCCACCATGCTCCACAGGAACAGCAGAGGAGAGTGAGTAAAACTGACAAGACAAGATGATGTCCTCCGTGACCATATTTGTAATAATGGTAGCGATGGTGTCGCCTCAGTGCATCATAATGATGAGGCTCCTCATTGATTATGTTCTAAAATGAAAATCAATTATGCCCCGTGATGATTGCTCATCTATCATCAAGAAGGTAGGGATTTTATTATGACACAGCCATGCTATGTGTGTGTGTAGATATATATCTGCTTGAGTTTTAGAGAGCTATACATAAACTATTGATTGCAAGTTAGTAGCTATAATAGTAGCTATAGATTTATTTTAGGCCTTTTATTGCAACTTTACAAGCTACATCAAGATTTACTTCTGTATTTGGCTCATGCTCGTTTCCTCTGGGTATCAAAAGGGATGCTCCTATTGAAAGATAAAAACAATGATGGATTAAAACGAGCTATAAAGCATTTACTTTCTTCTGAAGACATAATCGCGCATCATACAAGGGTGGGGCTCAGCTAGCTCATTCGGCAAAAAGGCGTGGCTACAACGCCTTTCAGTAGCACCTTTTGTAGTATTGTAACTCATTTTTGCTGAAATGGAATTTTCCCAAACAGACTAGACTCCAATTGACTTTGCTCTACTTATACAGCTGCACTTCACTCAAAGGTGTGTACACATTATAGCTAACCAATCACAATGTAATGAATAGGATGTTTAAAAAAAAACAATCAAATTTATGTACTAAAATAGTCCATAGTATTTGACAACCAACTTTTTATGAAAATGAGTGAACAAGCAAACATTTTCAAAGGCGGGGTCACAAATAGACTACCTACATCTATAGATAATCTATTATACAGAACAACAGTAATGAATGCAGGTACACACACACACACACACACACACATACATTTAATGACAAGTTATTGTAATGATTATTGTCTTTCTTTTAACTCAAAATGTAATCACATGTACTGTATACAGTAAAACAAAAATGACCACACCGCAGCCAAATACTATTGCTCCCCCACTGAAGGCCAGAGATAAGCAGCGACTCCTTTGTGCAGCTTCCATGTCCCCACGAAGTTCTTCATCTTTTGCCTTAAAAGGAAGAAATATCATATAAATCAGTTGAGAGCATAGATTTATATATACTTAAAAGAAACTGAAATTGCCATTAAGTCTAAAGATGCATTTTAATAACAATGACAGGTTTCATTCAAACATTATACCAAAAGGGAGGGATTAAATGAAATTTGAGCAATGTTGTACTTAAATATACAATTATGTATAATTATGTTGTTAAGGAGAAGGAGCTTGTTGCCAGCAGCCAAGTAACAAGTTACCAAAAAAGAACTGATTTTTAATTTGCACAACACAAGTAACTACAATAGAATAGAAGGATACAGTACTTACTTGACTAGCAAATACCATGGCCGGAATGGTACACAAAAGAACCAAAAATGTACCACAGAAGAAGCAAAGAACAGTCAAAATGACAGCAAAGTTTAAATAGTAATCACTTGAACTGGACTGGCTTGTCTGTGCCAGGTAATTAGGCATTGGTTGCCTCACAGTGACTACATGGTTCTGGATAATAGTTTGGTGTTTTAAAAAGTGAACTTTAAAACCCATAAATACTTACATGAGGTGGGGGACGAATCAAATGTGGAGGAACTGGAGGTACTTTGTATTGTTCTATATCAATGAACTGACTCATGGGCTGAGCCTGAGGCAATGGCTGAGGTGGTGATGGTACAGCATCACTCTTATGAGAAAAACAAGTCCACAATCATTATGTTATAAAACTTACTTTATGTTCAACTAACAATGGATCATAATCTTCTTCACCTAGAATAGCAAGAGCAAATGAATAAGTTTATCAGTCAATGGCACCTTCTGTGTTATTGTAGCTCATTTTAGGATTTTCAAGACTACAGTAAAGTAGTATACTAACTTGGCTCAAGTTATATATGGCTGGTTGACTTTTAAGGGCTAAGGCCAAGTTATTAAAGGGTATGACCCAGTACCATTAGCTAACCACAGGAATGAAGAATGTTTAAAATAACTATAACATATCAATCATTAGCTGAGAATTCTCTCATAACAAACTGCATGTACTGTAGTACAGTACAGTCATTGGACACAACTTTAAAAGTTCATAAGAAATCCAATTTTTTCTACACGTGTAGAAAGAATTGGATTTATAAGTACATGTATATACATGCATCAGAAAATATTATAAAATGAAGAATTTTCTACTTTTCATTTTTGGCAAAATTTAGTCAAAGTTCCAAGTACAGGGACTTTGGTCCGATTTTGGAGCGACTTTAAAAATTCATAAAAAATCCAATTTTGATTGGAATCAGCTCAAACTTTCTACACAACATAAGTAGATGTATATGTATCAGAAAACATTATAAAAATGAAAAATTCTTTATTTTTTATTTTTGGCAAAATTTGGCCAAGTTCCTGTACTATAATATAACAGGGATTTTTACACGATTTTTGAGTAAATTTAAAAAATTGTAAAGAATCCAATTTTGATTGAAATCAACTCAAACTTTTTAGACAACCTAAGTACCGGTACATGTATATGCATCAAAAAGTATTATAAAAATCTCTACCTTTTAATTTTTGGCAAAATTTGGTCAGAGTCACTGTCACCTTCAGATACAAGCATTCATTGTAGCTATAAAAATGGTATAAACTTACATGATAGTGTGAGTAAGACTCTATGAATAGTTTAATAAGATTCTCTGTTAAATTTTATCTTAATCATATTCTTTATCAGAATAAAGTGCTATGATAGGGTGTGCTATGATAGCTCAGTGGGTCTGATAATTGCTCATCTATCATCAAGAAGGTAGGGATTTTATTATGGCACAGTCATGCTATGTGTGTGCATAGACATACATCTGCTTGAGTTTTAGAGAGCTATACATAGACTATTGATTGCAAGTTAGTAATAGTAGCTATAGATTTATTTTAGGCCTTTTATTGCAACTTTACAAGCTACATCAAGACTTACTTCTGTATTTGGCTCATGCTCGTTTCCTCTGGGTATCAAAAGAGATGCTCCTATTGAAAAATAAAAACAATGATGGATTAAAACGAGCTATAAAGCATTTACTTTCTTCCGCAGACATAATCGCGCATCATACAAGGCCTTAAGGGTGGGGGTCAGCTCATTCTGCAAAAAGGCGTGGCTACAATTCAGCCACGCCCCAGATCATAATTAAAATTATTATTGATAAAAACACACTGACTGAACTTAAGTGAATCAATACACAATTATTGTCTTTTTTTACTTATAGCTGGTCAGTGAAAGTGCAACATATGAAATAGCAGTTATCACAACACCACCAACTATCATTCCACCAATATTAAAGACCATTGATACGCAGCGACTGTTTTCTGCAGCAACAGCATCTCCACGAAGGTCTTCATCCTTTGACTTAAATGAAGAATAATAATACAATGCAATATGAACAATTGAAAAATTTACAATTTCATAAGAAATTGAAATTGCTATTTATCACTATATAGCTGTATTTAATAACAATACAGGCTTCAACACAAACTGCAACAACTGATATTATTGCTCACTTTGTATGCAAATATCATGGCTGGAATGGTACACAAAAGAACTAAAAATGCGCCACAGAAGAAACAGAAAACAGTCAAAAAGATAGAGAAGCCCAAATAGTAGTCACCTAAACTATAATCACCGCTTGACTGCATTTGCATGGACTGCAGTGGCTGGCTCACAGTGATTCCATGGCTCTGGGCAATGGCATGAAAGAGTAAGTAAAAAAATAAAGCAAGATTTACTGAACTAACAGCAGTAGTTGGAGGAGGAGGAATAACATTAGGAGAAACTGGAGGTACTTGGTATTGCTCTGTAACAACAAAGTGAGTTCTGGCGGCCATTGGTTGCAGTGTCAGTTGATGTCCAGGTGGTGGTTGACTCTCCAGGGGAGACAAGAAAAGCATTTTGTAAGTCCAACTTGAAGTAAGCTTACTTTTTGATCACTTAAAAATAGCTCCAAATCTACTTCATCTATAAAATAGTGAAAGTAAATGAATAGCTAGTTTTATCATTGAGTAGCACCTTTTGCAGTATTGTAGCTCATTTTTGCTGAAATGGAATTTTCCCAAACAGACTAGACTCCAATTGACTTTGCTCTACTTATACAGCTGCACTCAACTCAAAGGTGTGTACACATTATAGCTAACCAATCACAATGTAGTGAATAGGATGTTTAAAATAAACAATGAAAGTTATGCACTACAATAGTCCATGGTATTTGACAACCAACTTTTTATAAAAATGAGTCAACAAGTAAACATTTTCAAAGGCGGGGTCACAAATAGACTATCTACATCTATAGATAATCTATTATACAGAACAGCAGTAATGAATGCAGGCACACACACAAACACACACATATACATTTAATGACAAGTTATTGCAATGATTATTGTCTTTCTTTTCACTCAAAACTAATCGCACCTCCTAAAATCAGTAAAGCAGAAATGACCACACCGCAACCAAATACTATTGCTCCCCCACTGAAGGCCAGAGATAAGCAGCGACTCCTTTGTGCGGCTTCCATGTCCCCACGAAGTTCTTCATCTTTTGCCTTAAAAGGAAGAAATATCATATAAAGCAGTTGAGGGTATAGATTTATACATACTTAAAAGAAACTGAAATTGCCATTAAGTTTAAAGATGCATTTCAATAACAATGACAAGTTTCATAACATTCAAACACAAACAGCAATTAAGTGCAATTGCAATGCATTACATCAGAAGGGGGGCTAAAAGACATTTGAGCAATGTTGTACTTAAATATACAATTATGTATATTATGTTGTTAAGGAGAAGGAGCATGTTGCCAGCAGCCAAGTAACAAGTTGCCAAAAAAGAACTGATTTTTAATTTGCACAACACAAGTAACTACAATAGAATAGAAGGATACAGTACTTACTTGACTAGCAAATACCATGGCCGGAATGGTACACAAAAGAACCAAAAATGTACCACAAAAGAAGCAAAGAACAGTCAAAATGACAGCAAAGTTTAAATAGTAATCACTTGAACTGGACTGGCTTGTCTGTGCCAGGTAATTAGGCATTGGTTGCCTCACAGTGACTACATGGTTCTGGATAATAGTTTGGTGTTTAAAAAAGTGAACTTTAAAACCCATAAATACTTACATGAGGTGGGGGATGAATCAAATGCGGAGGAACTGGAGGTACCTTGCATTGTTCTATATCAATGAACTGACTCATGGGCTGAGCCTGAGGCAATGGCTGAGGTGGTGATGGTACAGCATCACTCTTAGGGAAAGTAAGTCCACAATCATTATGTTATAAAACTTACTTTATGTTCAACTAACAATGGATCATAATCTTCTTCACCTAGAATAGCAAGAGCAAATGAATAAGCTTATCAGTCAATGCACCTGTGTTATTGTAGCTCATTTTAGGATTTTCAAGACTAGCAGCTTTAGTATACTCAACTTATACGGTCGGTTGACTTAAGACCAAGTTATTAAAGGGTATGACCCTGTACTATTAGCTAACCACAGGAATAAAAGAATGTTTAGAATAACTATCAATCATTAGCTGAGAATTCTCTCATAACAAACTGCATGTATGTACTATAGTACAGTACAGTCCTTGGCTACAACTTTAAAAGTTCATAAGAAATCCAATTTTGGTTGAAAGCAGCTCAAACTTTCTACACAACATAAGTACATGTATATGCATCAGAAAATATCATAAAAATTGAGAATTCCCTGCTTTTCATTTTTGGCAAAATTCGGCCAAAGTCTTACAGGGGACTTTTACACAATTTTTGAGTAAATTTTAAAATTTGTAAAAAAATTAAATTTTGATCGAAATCAACTCGATCATTCTACACAACATAAGTACATGTATATACATCAGAAAATATGATAAAAATGAAGAGTTTTTTTGGCAAAATATTTTTGAGTAAATTAAAAATTTTGTAAAAAATCAAATTTTGATTGGAATCAACTCAAACTTTTTTGACAATATAAGTGCATGATATGCATCAGAAAATATTATTAAAATGAAGAATTTTATACTTTTCATTTTTGGCAAAATTTGGCCAAAGTTCCTGTCACCTTTAGATACAATCATTCATTGTAGCTATAAATTATAATAAAATGACACAAAAGCTTCATAGACTTACATCATAGTATGAGTAAGAGGCTCTATGAATAGTTTAAAAAGATTCCCTGTTGAACTTTATCTTAATCATAATCAATCATAAAGTGCTATAGGGTGTGGTTGGAATGTGAACTATACTACTAGTATCACATTCATAAGGTGTGAATGCCTGCATGTGAATGACATCACATGATCCCACAAGAACAGACTGTGCTCTTCACTGCTAACAGTTTGCTTTACTCTACTGACACTACACTAGTGCAAGTGTACAAGTGCAAATGTACAGCATCAGCATGTACTAAAATGACTTCATTATCAGCTAACAGCTTAACGTGACGCTTTAGTATCTCACACATTTAAGGATTATACTTCTTCCTTGCATAATTAACTTTCCATGCGAGACAATTATAAACTTTGCAGCAATAAAGATAACTTGTAAACAAAAACACAAACAACCTAAAATAACAAACACACTAGCTATAGCTCATCCTCAAAGTTTATAAGTACATATACAGACCCACTGAGCTTACAGATGTGCTCCATAAGCTCAGCAATAGTAATACTGGTAATAGTAGGAATAATAACAGTTGTTGGCTTGAGAAACAGTCGTTGCAATCACAATTATGAAAATGACAATGAAGACAGCATATGTTGCTATGCCTCCAATGTTGAGGAAGAGGGCAAGTCGGCGGTTTCTTTCAACAGCTGCTTGATCACCACGAGCGTCTGCATCCCTAGCCTGTGAATATAATTAATAATTATTAATAATCAATAATTACATGAAATGGAGTGAAATATCTCAGACACAAAGGAAAAACAAGCAATTTTTTTGGGAGTCATAACGCAAAGTGTTTACTTAAAAAGTCAATTTAAAAGAATAAACCATCATGTCATGTGTACAGTTGTAGGCGTAGACAAAGTTGATAAGTATATACACATGTAGATAATCCCTGAGATAAAAGTCACATAATAACAGTCCTTTAGGGAATGAAACACCAAACAGTGCATTGGGATATTTAACCAGTTTCAATAAAATATCAGCACCTTAACTGATGTTTCCCCTGTATTCTACAGTGCTATTGTTATGACTTACATTGATTGCAAAGACAATGGCTGGTATGGTACAAGCAAGAGCGCACCATGTTCCCCAGAAGAAGCAGCAAATGGTCAAGAATATTGAGAGACTCAAGTAGTGATCAGCCGACCTGTATGTACGATAGGTCGTGTGGACTGGGGCAGGCTGGGTCACAACGACAGTGTTCTAAAAATTAATTATGTCTCCATAACAAGAAATGAAAGAGATTGTTGCTTACATTATGTGTAGCTGGTGCAGCCTGATAGCCACCATAAGCTGTAAAGGAAAGAAAACAATTGTTTTACATAATCTAATTATTCTTCATGCATGCCAATCACTTGTTGGTGCTTGCATGCCATTCAAGTGTAAAGACAGTATTTTTAAAAGGACTGACCAGGAGGTGGATAACCCTGCTGAGGTGGATAACCCTGCTGTGGTGGGGGGGCCATTGGTGGCGGAGCATTGTATGCCTACAAAGAGAAGAGAAGTAAAGATATTATACAGCTGGAGACAGACCGCCAGTTAGCATGGACTTACTGGAGGTGGGGGCTGTACCAATGGCTGTTTGTCACCTAAAGAGTAAGAGACAGTTAAAAAATACTGAAACTAGCAACCGCGAGCCTTACTCATCCTTATTGTATGGAAGATTTGCTGGAAGCAAGAGACAACTTTGACAAGAGAAGGGGCTGAAAGGACTGAGCGCAGTAAGGTCACTAAGGTCAGCGGGAAACTAGCTGATGGTAGATCGGATCCTGTGCATGTGGTAGGTAGATAGACTCACGTGCTAAAGCCACAAAAAATTAAAATTAATTTTATTAGCACTCCAACACAACGACCATTGTATCTTTTTCACACACAAAAAAAAACTAAAACTTAATAGCAATACCATGAAAAAGGTCCTGTTCACTTGTAGCAATAATAAGAATAATCGTTATAATAATAATTATAATAGGAATAGCAATAAGAATAAGAAGAAGAATAATAATAAGATCCAGCACTGACATTGATTGAAACAATGGCAATAATGATGACAACTATGGACACAACGTAGGTGACAATCCCACCAATGTTGAGACCCAAAGCTAAACGACGGTTACGACTGACTGCTTCTGCATCACCACGGACCTCAGCATCTCTAGCCTGAAATGAATAGAATACATAAAGGACAAATCACCCTCAATTTTTATTTCATTTTCTGATACATATTGATGTACTTATGCTATGTAGCAAGTTTGAGCTGATTTCGACTTCAATTTTAAAGTTAAAGACTTACATTGATTGCAAAGACAATGGCTGGTATGGTACAAGCAAGAGCGCACCATGTTCCCCAGAAGAAGCAGCAAATGGTCAAGAATATTGAGAGGGTCAAAAAGTGATCTCCGCTTGTATGACGATTATAAACAACAGCCGGTCTAGTTGGCTGAGTTGTCACAATAACGGTATTCTAAAACAACAAAGAGATGAGGTTAAACAACAAAGTAATGTATATTTTCCAAATGGCTTACATTAGTTGTCTGAGGAGCTGCATAATATGGCTGAGCTAGAAATGAAAATATTGTATTATCAAGTTGCAATATCAGATGCCAATGAGTATAGAGTAACATAGTACATATAGTAAGACTATCTGTAGTAAGAGTATCACAGTACATATAGTACACAGTACTTTAAAAATTACGTACCTACATGCAAAAAATTCCCCAGAGGTCACCACAAATTTTGATAAAGAGGCAGACAGTAAAAGTACATGCATAATAATATTGTTGAAATTTCATTAATTTTCATACCAGGAGGTGGTTGATAGGGCCGTTGAGGTGGAGGTGGCTGATACTGGTAAGGCTGGAAAAAAACACAATACAATAATTCATGCATGAAGAAGAGGTTCAACTTACAGGTGGTGCTCCCATCAGCGGCTGCTTATCGTAACCTGCAGGAAAAAGAGGCGAAATAATGCCATTACAATACAAGTATAGTCATACTCATGTTGCAAAGTGGTACAATATGAATCTTCCAAACGTGTAAATGAACTCCTCTATGTCCTCCTCTACTTTGCACGCGCGTTTAAAATACCGTATAAACTCTATTTTAGTGTTTTCAAAATTTTAACTGATTTATGCCAAAGATATTAGATAATGATTAATTTTTTGTGGGGCGAGGTCAATAAACAAAGTATATTATTATTATAAAAACAGCTGACACAATAAACAAACACATCACTGTACATCATTTGCACAAATAAAGTTTTGTTTGCAGCATTTCTTCTGAGCAGGGCCACACTAATATGTAGTAGGTGTTGGAGTTCCATCTTCAGCATGATGGACTTCATATCGATAAGACATGACATACCAAGCAATGGTGAGGCCCAGTGTAATCAGACCAACAATAGATCCAATGATGTTCAAAGCAAGTGCAGCCTGACGCTTGGACCTCATTGCAACCATGTCCCCTCGCATCTCTGCCTCTCTTGCCTGCAAAGAATGCGGAAAAATAAAAGATTATTATATTGAAAGGTACACTGAATGTAGTGTTAGTTATCAGAGTGACAACAGAGCAAAAGGGAAAGATGTCGTAACTAACATGGACAGCATAAACAATTGCTGGTATGACACAACAAAGGCCACATGAGCCAAATATGCACCAGAAGAATGCAAGGAAGACAGAGAGCGTGAAGAAGTTGTCACTGGGGTAATGAGTAGCAGCTGGGTTTGTATGATACTCTTGAGCCAGCGGCTGAGAGCTGACAATACGGACAGCAGGATTCTATAGTAAAGAAGACAAGAGCATAGCAATTGATCAACAATGCGTGAATATGTGCCAAATTTGTCACTTGTGTTAGGCTAATGTTGGCATTAATAAGTTTTTATAAAAAGGCATGGGCATAGCTGATACTCTTGGCATAACCGGGAATAGCATAGCTCAATCTGCCCCGCTGTAGGGAGACTGATGAATTAAGGCATCGTTTCACTATAGTCTAGATCATCTACATTGTTAGTTTTACTACAAAGAATGCACAGTTCTGGTTTTGACTGCATGCCAACCTAGTTACAAATAATCAGCTTAGGCAGAGTTGAGCTGATTAAAGCCAGAGTATTAAATTATGGCAACTTACAACAGAGTAAACGGGAGGTGCCTCTGGAGGAATTAAAACTTTCTCTGTGGAAAGAAAACAATCAATAATCAAATTCGATGCTTATCCTTGTAACTTACGGTCTTCCATTTTTCCAGGGATGTAGTCTATGATATCTCTTTCTCTTTGTCTAAAGATGTTTTTGCAAACTTTTTGCTGAGCAATAGCAGTACTCACACGTGATGATGATCATAATGATTAATGATGTTATAATAATGATGTAATAATGATGCATTGATGCAGCAATTGCAATTACCGGTCATTATACATGTATAGCTATACTGCATTACCTTAGTGAATGTACACAGTCTAGAT